ACACAATCTGATGTGTACAATTGTTTGGATTTAAAAATATATTTTATGCTGAAACTCTTGGTTTCTACAAACAAAAACAAAATTAGTTTGAACATCAAAACAGTGCTAGTTGTGCTCCACATCAACAGTCCCTTCAGACTGCTGCAAAGCATAGAGGAAGGTAAAGGTTCCCGAACATTCGTACTGCAATAACACTTCTGTATTATTATTAGAATTGTATTATGATGTTTACATTCACATTGAATTCCCTTGAAAGAGGCACTATTATGCTTTTTGTAGTGTTCCGTCTCCAGTAGTGTGCTCTAGGTCTCTGTGCATGTCAATGGTCTGCAAAGGCTAAAATCCCTGTATTCCCTCCAGAGGGAGTTTATATGAATATCAGAAGAATTTGAAATGAAACATTCTGCACAACAATGAAAGAGGTTCGGAGGGATTTAGCAGGAAAAAAGAATGTCCTTCTGGAAGCGTATTACTTTGTATGCTCTTTGAACATGTCCTCTACAAGGCAACAGTGGTATAATACAATATGAATCAACAACATCTTTCATAATCCTCATGACTCAACCGTTTGGCCCCGTCACACTCATTGTGAGAATGTGATTTAAGAGTTGACTGGCAGAAAAATGATTGAATTCCTGGTATCTGGATAGGATGCGTTCATAAGGACAAAAGATTTAAATAAGAATATTTATTGTGCTTTAGCCTCAGTGCTGTATGAAATACCCAGCCACCCGAGAGCAGGGGTATTCAACAAAAATTCAACGAGGTCCAGTTAGAGAAAATCTCCCCATGCAAAGGTCCAGAACATCAAAATGTCTAAGTTGCTTTATGAACTAGTGTGATATATATTGAAGTAGCCTGTAGCTTTTTCAACGTCTGCATGTAATCAACAACTGACTGCCAATCAAATAAAGAAAGTACAATTCAAAAACAACAACATTTGTTGTCAATTAACATTGAACTATACAGATATACAGTAAATGCTGTGGATATGTGTAATGTTCCTCTCGGGCTGCATTTAAAAATAAAATAGAGAAAATAAATAAAATAGCTTTTGAAAATATGTGCATCTTAAAAGTGCTTAATTTTAGGTAAATAAAATAAAGTGTAGCAGCAGCTTGAGTTTCCCTTTCTCTTTGTTAACCATTTCACATCATGACTTAACAGTTTCAGACGATTATAGAACAATATCAGTCTTTACACATCATAACAATTGAACAGTTTTAAAGTTTCTCTTTCTGTTCCTCTTATATTGCAGTCCCTCACTCACTTTGTTCTATTCAGTTTGAGAATTGAGCTGGAGCCCATCCTGCCAGGAGTTTAAATCTGGGCTGAAATTTTGTCAGGGCCATTCTCATACTCACATGCGGGTGCTCATTGGTTTGCCTCGGTTAGCCTGCCCTGGAACGATATTTAGGGCCCGAGCACGGAGCGCTAGGACCCAACGGCGTCCTAGCACGAAGTGCGAGGAAACCTATTGNCTGAACATCAGCAGGAGAGGACTCTTTAAAGTAGAGACACTACATACTGAGTAGTGTCTCTACTTTAAAGAGTCCTCTCCTGCTGATGTTCAGGTGTATATCAGTATGTAGTGTCTCTACTTTAAAGAGTCCTCTCCTGCTGATGTTCAGGTGTATATCAGTATGTAGTGTCTCTACTTTAAAGAGTCCTCTCCTGTGATGTTCAGGTGTATATGTATTCTCTACTTTAAAGAGTCTCTCCTGCTGATGTAGTGTCTTACTTTAAAGAGTCCTCTCCTGCTGATGTTCAGGTGTATATCAGTATGTAGTGTCTCTACTTTAAAGAGTCCTCTCCTGCTGATGTTCAGGTGTATATCAGTATGTAGTGTCTCTACTTTAAAGAGTCCTCTCCTGCTGATGTTCAGGTGTATATCAGTATGTAGTGTCTCTACTTTAAAGAGTCCTCTCCTGCTGATGTTCAGGTGTATATCAGTATGTAGTGTCTATACTTTAAAGAGTCCTCTCCTGCAGATGTACAGGTGTATATCAGTATGTAGTGTCTCTACTTTAAAGAGTCCTCTCCTGCTGATGTTCAGGTGTATATCAGTATGTAGTGTCTCTACTTTAAAGAGTCCTCTCCTGCTGATGTTCAGGTGTATATCAGTATGTAGTGTCTCTACATGTCTCCATGCTTTAATGTTCAAAAAGCTCTTTATTGTTCTCATACTGCCTGTGCTGCAGCACCTCATTTCACCCTCTGTCTGAAACCAGAGCGCAGTCTGCTCTGATTGGTTAGCTGACCTGCTCTGTTGTGATTGGTCAACCGGTTAGAGACTTCCTGTATAATGTGTTTGAGCGCTAGCCATTAAAAAAATGTAGCCTTTGCGGAACATTCACATGCACCAACGATATCTCACAAATTATTCTAGCTTGCGATAAATGAAAAGAAAGACAGATAATGATCTCACACATTTCTGCAAATATTTATTGAAATGATGACAAAATGCACTTTGGTGATTATATTCTAAACCACAGCAGACAGCCTCAATATCTGAAGTGCCTGAAATATCATTTATGACATTTATTTGGCACCTAAAACGTTTTAAAACAGTTATAAAGGCATCCTATCATACACCTCTGCTTTATCATACATGCAACAGATAGTTTGTGTCATCTTGTTGGGATATTAAAGTTATTGCCGACATCACAGTCAAAACAATCGTCCCTATTTCAAACAATTTAACTTTTTATACAAAATAAAACCAGTGTATGAAATCATTTGTATCTCTTAAAGTTTATGAGGTGAGTGCGACAAATAAAATAAACTATGATCTATAGGCAGCTCCTGAGCGACTGTTGGGTATTGTACACTGGATATTACAACTCAAACATGTGTTCCTTTAAATGACACCATCATGCAAATTAAATAAGAAACATTGACAATAAGTGATCCTTCTAAACAACCTCAAATCATGATTTTAAGTGGAGGTAATTTCTCCAAAAAAAATCATCACATTTTCTATTGACTTGAACTTTTGAAATGAACACTGTAGATTTCATTCACGAAACAAGCTCCACACATTCAGTCCCACATGTGAACGTCTTCTGAAATCTTTACAAAAGTAGTTTTAAAACATTTACTCTGGAACAGCAGCTACTGCGGCACGTTCCTCATTTCCCTCCAGGCTTTACACTTTTCAGAAACCTGGTTTAAAAACAGCCAATCACTGTCAGCATATATTACAAAGAAACAGCCATGAACTGTGTGATGCAAAGTACACATGGAGCTGTTTCTGTCTTTGACTCTGCTGGCTACACTTTATAGTTAAACACATTACATTAACTTAACTGCATGTGTTCTCCTGCAAGCTGTAAAGCTCACATCCTGTCCCATATTCATTAAGTCATACTTCATTGTTGCCTTCTGTTTAACACTTGCTCCTAAATTGACCCTCATGTTCCAAAGAGTAATAACACAAAAGATATATCGTGTATACTATTGTTGCGGTAGATTAAACATAGACTGGTTTTAATTGTATGTTTAAGGCATTTTATTTAGTTAATACAGAATATGAATGTTAAATACATTCATTGTTTACATCTGATTGCAGTATTCTCTGCATTATCACTTAAACTTGGTTACGTTAAGGCAACAAAACCACTTAGTTAAGTCTAGTAAACGATTGTGATTTAATCGCGGTACGTACAATAACATAATGTTCTTTCTTTACTTAATAAACTCCACAATGAGTTTTCTTTCAAGTGTTTTTTTTACTCATGTACCCGTCCAACCTCCTCTGAGGGTTTTATACATCATTTGACTTCAGGAGTACTTGCTCCAAATGTATTTTACTGACTGATAAATATAACATGGTCTCTGTGAAATGGTCAGCAAAACTTAAACAGCTAAAGTAAATATGCTAAGTGTGTTTGTTTTATGCTTCAAGTGCACATACAGTACTTTCTCATCTGCCAGAGTGCAGTGACAACAAGCAGGAAAAGGTGTGCTCTTAACAGCATCTTATGTTGTATACAGTCGAGTGAGAGTATATTTTATTTTAAACACCGTTACAGCCCCCAGCTGCAACTGTCTTAATATGAGCAGCTGCTAAACAGCTGAAGTCTCTGGAGCAGCCGCCTCCTGCTGCATCTCCCCACTGGAATAATTCCTCTATAAACAGACTACCATTTCCAGGTGTCTCCTAAATGCCTCTCCAACAGTACACACACTCAGTAAGCTGCTAATGTACCAGGATGTCAGATGGTATTTGTCCATGAGCTCCCTACTGTAACATTTCTCAGGCCTGTTGACAGGATGTGCTGAGAGCTTTCACCTCATTTCACACATGGCTCATTAACCCAGAGTTTACTTAGAGCCTCGGGTTCATTATTCACACTGATGCTAACCGCTAACAGCTAACCGCTAACGCTAACCGCTAACGGCTAACAGCTATCGTAGATTGCTTTGGTTCTAACCCAGATTCACACCACTGATCTTAAAGGTGCATTCAGAGCAAACACAAAGCATTTTTCTCACTGTTTGTGTAATAAGTGGGGCCTCAAATAGCCAATAACAAACTTAACAGGGACCAGATGTTGCTACAACCCAGTTTCACTGGCAATTTGTGTAATAGTCACGAAATGAATGTAATCTATCGATTTGCGTTCACCAACACGATTTTCCCATTTTTTCCGTGTCACACAGAACGATTTTAAAAGCAATGTATTTCTATTGGTAGTGTGTTTCGTGCCTGCTCCATGTCTTTTTGTCCGGTCGGGTCTTGGAAGACCAGAAGCTGTGGGGTTCATAAAAACATTTTCTTAATCAATATCAAGCCACGATTATTGTTTTTATTTTAAATTGTATAATGTCTGACTTTTTGTGCCGTCCGCGAGGAAAATAAATGGGGCTCAGAGACTCAGAATACTGAAATCTGTATTTTTTTTTCCTTCTAATTTGTTATTCGGTGCAGCCACAACACATACTACCAATAGAAATACATTGCTTCTAAACATCGTTCTGTGTGACACGAAAAAAATGTGGAAATCGTGTTGGTGAACACGAATCAAAGGATTAATTTCGTGACTATAACACGAAATGCCGTGAGACTGGGTTGTGCTGTTAGCTTGGTAGAAACTAAAGCTGTCTGGAAATAACATGTTCATTGCACAATTGTCTCTTTTTTCACGGTTAGCATACGGGTATATCTTGACACCCATAGAAGCAGTACCGTAAGTAAATTAATCGCTGCAGGATTAGTGCATTATTTTTGCTTGAATAGAAGTGATTTAGGATGTTTGCATTACTCATTGAATCTGCAAATGTTCCTGCACTCACATTTTTCATTTTACTTTGTATGCATCTGCATCGCCTCAGAATTTTGGGTTCAGTCTGAACACACCTTAAGACTTTTTGGGGAATAACCGTGAAAAGGTTTAGGATAGTCATGCAATAAGGAATAGTGGTTAAACTTTAGGTAAGAGTGTCTCACACTGCAAAACATGCAAGAAATAATCTTACACTTTCAGTCTGTGAGTGTGAACAACGTGTTAGACGAACTCTACATCAAGTCCTTGACTAATGTGTGTGTTATCCCGGGATTAACAGTGTGAAAACACCCTTTTGGTTCTCTGGTTTTCACTCAGTAAGACAACAGCAAATTGCAGATAAAAGCTCAGCTACAGTTTTGCAGCCAAGGTACAAAACCAAAGCGAGTGAGGTAACAGAACATATGAAAACATGTATCAAGCTCTGTAAATAAGCCGATCAGTAACATGACATTTATCCACTGTAGACATCACAGCGTCTCATTAGTTGGTCATTAAAGTTGTCCTGTGCAGACTCCCTGTCTCTGAAAATGTTATAATAACTATGTATGTCTAAATAAAGCTCATATTCAAACTGTTAGAGATCCTGGGTGATAAAATATGCAGCATTATGGGAAATTGACACCCAAAACTACACACATTTTTAAGAAAAAAGCTGGCTTTAAAGATTTGGAAAATTGCCAATTATTTATACTAAAAGAACATTACTCAAATATAAACATATCAGTAGTATTAGATGCGGATCTCATATCCTGTATACTATTACTTCAAGCCCTTCTTTTCACTTATTTGAAGTTAAATTAGCAACTGTTTCTCAAAATCAAAATAAATGCATTTGTTTCTGGGAATGAAAACCATCCAGAAATGGCATTTTAACACGTCTTGTCAAAGGATCTCTTAGAACTAATTTAATTTAAATGAAGTGTGTAATTTTAGCATGTCCTGCAGGTCCATACACTGGGCTCCTTACTCCTGCCTATAATTAGGTAAGAAGGAAATGCATCATCATTATTCATTTGCCAACGTTTATCATGTTGATGAGACTCGGGATCAGAGACAGGGAGGATGCTGGGATCAGATGTGGGAGCTCCTGGGATTTCACCCTCCGAACATTAACATGCTAACCTGGTGCATTTAAAACACAACATGCTCTCGTTACGGGACGCAGGGTAAGGGTGATTTGAATCTATGATTAGAAATAAAAGATAAAACTAGCTAAAGATAAAAAGTAAATAGTAAAATAAAAAATCTGAATTATGCAACATGCCCATTCAAGTCATGGTTAATCCCATCATGTCCGATACCAGCCATTTCGATATTTATTCTCATTTTTTGATACGTTTTTTAAGTTTCTTTGCAAAATAATATCCACATTTGAAATAATTATGACTGAATAAATTAATATTCTGTTGTGTTTTTTAAATGTATCATGCAACAAAACAAATGCTTAATGTTCTTGTCAGAGCAAACGCCTTCAATTATGTTAAATTAGATAACATATGTACATTAAATACATCAATATTAAACTTGACTACAAACGTAAACTAAAAACAACATTATGCCAATGTGTTCATTCAATTTGGCCTAAATGACAAATATTTGGTTTTTTTTATTGACATAAATTCTTCCTTGTTTGGATTTTTGTAAAAAATACATTGATAATTGTGTTTAATTTAAATAATGCTGCCTGAAAAAGAAATGAGCAAAGTTCATGTATGGGCCAACCAAGAAAATAAATCAAAAAATACATCAAATCTAAAGCATGGCAGCGATGGGAGATATCAACAGGAGCTCGACCACATGGAGAGAAATATACATAAATAAATGAAAGACAAAATATTTCTGTCCTCTCTCAACTATCCGTCTGTGGTTTTCCTCAGAGTTTGAGGATCCACAGATTTAAAAAAGGGCTCCCCCTGCTGGACGGGGAGCTGCAGAGTTTTCAGTTTTCAGAGAGTTTGTCTTATTGTCCCGACGCTCGAGCCGTCTTCTGCTGTTCCTCCAACATGGACCTGATGGCAGGGGACATCATGGAGGGGGACATCATGGAGGGGGACCTCATGGCGGGGGACATGGCCGGGGTTAAAGGTCGTAACGGGTACTGTGCGTTTCTACCAGGGACGTAAACGCACTGGAAGAATCTCTGACCTGTGGAGACACCGAGAGAGAAGAAGGGATCAGCAACGTATCGCATATAAGAGCATCATGTGTTCATCTCTGGAACTCTCTCCCTCTTCACATCCGACCACATTCAAGACCCTCCTCAAAACCCACCTGTTCAGATCAGCCAACTCACTGTAGTGCTACATGTCTCCTGTTTCCCAACATGTTCCCTGTTACGGTCCTTTTGTAATGTCTTAAACCTTTCCTTAGAATATGTTATGAATTGTAACGTGTCCTTGTAAGGTGTCGTTTTGTTTTAATTGAGATCGATCATGTGTGTGGCTTTGTCGCAGTCTTGTGACAATCAAATATCTAAATAAAAGTCCAATAAAAGATTAAAAGTTTATATTATATTGTGATTTGTAGTTCATCCAATGTGCACTGGACAGCACCAGCTGAGCCTAGGACTTAAAGGTCCCCTATGATACTGTTTTTCATCAATATATCACAGGTCACAGATATATACAGAGCCTGTCTCTGATTGGCTGAAACACAAAACAGATCATTGCAGCATTACCCATAATCCCCTCTGTTTCAGCCCTGTTTCAAAAGTGCTGATTCTCTGTCTGTAGCTTTAAATGCTAATGAGCTTCTGATGGCCACGCCCCTCTGAGGTGCTCTAGGAGGAGATTCAGGTGATAAGGGGGGGGGGGGCGTTACCTTGGTTGGTGATTGGCTAATGGTTACACAACACAATGTTTTTTTGTGTTATCACAAAGTGGCCAAAATCAGTTTTTTATATAAATGGATCAGGACAAAAAGAGAGGGGGTCTTTGTTCCTGAGAGTTTCAGAATCTCTTTACACAGAGGGGACACATGTTGATGTAGAAGAGACATGAAGAAGAGGGGACACATGTTGATGTAGAAGAGACATGAAGAAGAGGGGACACATGTTGATGTAGAAGAGACATGGAGAAGAGGGGACACATGTTGAAGTGAAATGAACCTCCAATAATCCACATTCCCCAAAAGTAAAGCAACTCTTACTTGGTTTCTTCTTCTCTTTGCTACTTTTATCAGTCGCGGTCTCCTCTGCAAGAAATGGGAATTCACACATTGTTATATAACGTCAGTTTTATAGTCAAGTGTGAAACTGAGACTGAGAGAAAGAGAGAAAGGATGGCATGCATTTAAGTGATGGGAGGAAAACAGTCTGGAAAGAGAGAGAAGAAGAGAGACTTTCACTCGGATTGATTTTAACATTTATGGAGAAAATCAAGACTTTTTCTGCACTAAAAAAGTCAAATATAGATTGGATTATGAGTTGTAAAACAGTTAATTTGGATTATTGGTTGGTGTAGAATCTAAAGAGTAACAAAAACACACACCTTTACAGATATTGCAAATTAAAGTGAAATCAAACAATCTTTGCTCCAAGAAACAGGAAACAGTGAGGCAGACGTTAAAAAGGAAAGTGTGGATTCACTCGGGAAGTGTGTGTGTGTGTGTGTGTGTGTGTGTGTGTGTGTGTGTGTGTGTGTGTGTGTGTGTGCGTGCATTGTGTGTGTGTGCGTGTGTGTGTGTGTGTGTGGTGTGTGTGTGTGTGTGTGTGTGTGTGTGT